TTGTTTGGTAATTTTTTTTTTTTTGGAAATTTTTAAGTAAACAAAATGATTTAATAAAGTTTGTAATAATTTTATTAACATAAAATAAAGAATTGCTTGGATAATAAATAAATAAATTCGACCAAAAATTAATTTAACAATAAAATATATTTATTTATTAGTGATTAACTATAATTCATTCCTTTTGCGTTTTAACTTTTTGTTTTATTTCGTTCTATTCCTATTTCATTTTTCTCTTAAAATTTTAGGCAATTTTAAAATTGGGAAAATCGTCGAACAGAGAAATGGAAAGAAATTAATGAAAGTAATTTATGAGTGTAAAAATAAAAAAAAACTTTTAAATAAGCAATAATTCGAATAAAAATTTCACAAACTTTCTTATTTTAACGATGTTGTTGAAGTATTTTTTTCTTTTATTACAAGAAGTGATGAAAAGAGAGAGAGAGAGAGAGGGAGATAGAAAGAGAGAAAGAGAAAATATAATACTACTAAATGATATTTCTTTTTAAGAATAAAATTTGTATAAAATTTCGGACTTTCCAGAATGCATTTCCACTTTTGTCACAATGATTTCTGATGATATTTCAAAAAATTTATTTTTAGAAAATATTTCTTAAGCAAATGCTTTTTTTTAATCAAATTTTTTTTTCTTTAAATATTTTGTTTATTTGTGATTACTTTCAAGCAATGCTATTTTAAATTGAAATTAAATTCTGATAGGTAAGAATTACGCAAATGCAAAATGATGAATTTAAAATTATAAAAATTCAAATTTTGTCACAAAAAAAAATATTAAGAAAAAAATAATATTTGCAAAAAAAGAAATAAGAATAAAAAATAAAATTTTCTACAAATAAAATTTTTCAACAATAAATAATTTGTTAAAATTTGAAGATTTATTGTAGCTAATTTTTTCTTCCAAAAGTACTTTTTATCCGATTATATTTTTGATTGTTAAATACTTTGACAAAAATTTAAATGTTGAAAAAATTAATGGAAGTAATATTGTTCGTTTTTCTCTCCAATAATTTTTCATTCCAAAAATAAAAATTAAATTTCTATTTACGGATATTTTCATAGTTCCAATGGGATTATTATTCTTAAAATTTAAATAAGGTCACAACTAATCATTTATGTTCCAAACAATCCTAACACAATTCTTTTATCTTTCATTTTATATGGTCCAACCAATTTTTCCATTTATTTTACAAATTCATTTTATGTAGGTCAATTTCAAGATAACTTTATTTTTTTTTTTTTTTTTTTTGTTACTTCGATATTATTTTTATAAAAAAAAAAAAATTGAAAAGCAAATAGAAATTGGTAAAATTAAAATTTTTGATAGTTTCCTCAATTTCTTTCTCAATTTTAAATAAAATTTGTCTTTGATCTATTTTTCTCTCTTTTTTAATTCAAAATTTAAAATTTATTCTCTAACAAATTGTTTACATAGCAAACACTATATGACAAAAATTTTTTGTTCGCTTTTTTGAAATAACAGAATTAAATTATTTACAATTTTAAATTTATTAATTTTTAATTGCAATGCATATTTTAAGCTATTAATTAATATTTAATACATTTCAATGTGAGTTAGTATAAGTGAATTAGCAAATAATTTTCAATATTTTAACAAAATTTAACAAGAAAATAAGCATTTTTCTTCTGAAAAAAATATTTAAAAAACATCAAAAAAAAAATTGCATAATAAAGAATTTTTAACAAATAAATTTACATCTCATCAAAGGTGAATTTCAATTTTCTTTTTTTTTTTTTTTGAAATTAGCGGCATTGACCTAATTTGAAATGTTCCTCCAATTATGCTATTTATTTTCATGAAGAACTAAAGTTTGATTTTTCTGTAAACTTTTTGCATTTTATTATTTGTTAATTTTTTTCCTTTTATTATTTGTTGTATATATTTTTAAAAAAAAATGATTTCACTTTTTGAATCTTTCTTAATATATTATTTACGATTAAATTCAATTTCGATGCTTAATTATAGCAAAATTTTTATTTGTATATATGGCAAAACTAATAAATTAAACAAATTTTTAAATAGAAAGTAAAACTAACAATAATAAGAATATAATTCTTACTTTATTTTTTTGCTTCATCCTTTTTTGCATGATAAAAGTTAAAATTTTTTTTTCGTTTTTTTTAACAAAATTTTTTATGATTTACTATCGTTCTAAAAATAATTTATACCACAAATTTGCATGCCATTAGCAAGTAGCACAATAGTAATTTTAAATTTTTTCAACCAAATAAACTACAAATAAGATTAATAAAAAAAAAAAAGCAAATTCGCATGAAATATTTAAATTTCTCTCACAATGTATTTCTTTTTTCTTTATTCACTCCAAATTTAATTTTTTTAATGTTAAATATTAAGTATAAAATTGATGTTTAATCTACAAAATTTATTAATCTGACATAAAATTTCATATAAAATAGTAATAACAATAATTATTAATAGTAATAATGATAGTAATAATGATAAGGATAGCAATAATAATAACAATGGTGATAATGAAATGATAATAATAGCAATAAAAATAATATTAATAATTAGTGATATAAGTGATAATAATAACAATTGGACTAACAACTTTTTATCAATAAATTTTAGTCATTTGCTTAAATATCAAATTTTTTACTATTTTTTTTGCATTCTTAATTTTTTATATTTCGATGCAAATATTAGCCCTAAAATTTACAAAGCAAAGCAATCGCTTTATTTTCTTTCAATTTGATAAAATTGATTTTATATCATTCGCTGATATACGCACATATTATAATTTAGTGATAAACATATTATTGAATTGATTTCATTTAATTTGAAATTTCCAAAATTTTTCAATTTTTTCTAAAAATTTGATCAAAATAAATTTAACTTTGAAGCTGTTTTATTAATTATTTCATATTTGAAATATTTACTAAAATTTTGTGATTTACAGTAAATTATTCATAAATGTTTGCAAAAAGAATTTGATGGAACTTTTTTTTTGATTTTAAATCTTTTTTTTTTTTTTTTGAATTTTAAAATTTTTTTTTTTTTGAATTTTAAATTACATCACTACAATCATTTTTAAAGCTTTTTGTTACTAACAGTAAATGAAAAATGCTATTGCGAAGTGATTCAAATATTTCATTGCTTTTTTAGCAAATTTCATTCATTCATTTTACACATTTTGAAATTTTTCTATATTTCATTTTATAAACTTTTCAATGTATTTAAAAAGTTAATTATTATAATTTTTTTTTTCTTTTTTGCTTAACAATGTTATTCTATAATTTACTATAATTTATTATTAATTATACTTTTCTTTTTTTGCTGTGCTTTTCATTTTCTTTCCCTTTTTAAAGTTTCTTTTTTTTAAACAGTAAAATAAGTATACTCAAAAATTAATTTGACTAAATTTTTCCAAATCTTCTGACTCATTTTTTGTTGAATTTAGAAAGAATGAAAAAAATTGTTTCACAAAGAAAACTTTATCATTTAGCATAAAATATCCAATAAAATTATTTGATAAATTTTTTAATAAAAGCTAAAATTTATAATATTAATAAAGGTAGTGCTATTAAAATGAATGATCGTTTTTAGTGATTAAATGATAATAAAGAAATGATTGTTTTAATTTATTTATACTACTTCTCTTGCTTTACTTCATTAAATGCCTTAAGTGATAATAATATGACTTAAAGTTTGTTTTGGACAGAATTTTTTATTGTTGGTTCTATTTATCTGTAATGAAAATTAAAAAAAACAAATCTTAAACAATTTCATATTTCATCGAATTATTTATTATATCATTTTGTATTGTTCGTTTTTATTCATTGGATTTTTCTATGTATGATTTTATAAATTTTTCTGCGTTGATACAAAGTTAAATATTATAATTTTTTTCTTTTTTTTTTTTTGCTTAACAATTTTATTCTACAATTTACTATAATTTAATATTAATTATACTTTTCCTTTTTTTGCTGTGCTTTTCATATTCCTTCCTTTTTTAAATTTTTTTTTAAAAAAAAAAACAAGGTAGAATAAGTGTAGTCTGAAATTAATTTGATTAATTTTTTTTTTTCTTTTTTTTTTTTTTTTTGGAAGCATTTGTGTGGTATTGCCAGTGATAGTGATTAGTTTGATGTTCTGATAAACTAAACTAATCACTGATAAAATTTCTTCATATCATTGTTTCCGTGCAATACAACTCAAATGCTTGGATTTATTTCAAAATTATATCAAATATTAGAGAAAAATGCTCCGTCATTTTTTCAAACTGATAACATTATCGATGAAATATATCAGTGCAATCATTATTGTAATGTACTAAAATTATTAAACTTATCTTAAAAAAAGTTGATTAACACATTCTAACATTTTTATCATATCAATTGATCACCAGATTAAAGTAATAATAATTTGTTAAATTTATTTAAAAGAAGTTGATTAACACATTCTAATACTTTTATCATATCAATTTATCACCAAGTTAAAGTAATAATAATTTTTTAAATATCATAATATTAATTGCATGCAATGAGAATAATTTTAATTAAATATTTCATTTTAAAAGTTTTCAGACTTTAATATTGCATAATCAAAATTATTAAATTTCGATGAAATATTTAACACTAAGGATATTTTGAATATTATTTAAGTATTTCAGCCAATTTCTCAGGCAATACTACAAATCCAACAAGAAAAACAATCATTTACTTAATTATTTACTTCATTTAATAATTATCCAATACTAATTAATGCTAATTAATGACTAATAAAATATCCATTTATTAGATATATTTTTGATTTTAGTTATTTCAAAATATTTATTATACAAATTTCAGAAATTAATTCGTTCAAAAGCGTTTTCTATTAAAAAAACTTTTTTCTTTATTATAACTGAAATTATTACTAATTCTATAATTTCAGGTCAATTGATGGATTATATGATAAAATTCATTACTTTCTGAATATATAATAATTGACAGCAAAAATGGCCATGGATTATGTATGGTCCTGGACCGATTATGTCTTTTATGGGATGTGTTCATGTGGCTCATCAGCAGTCACCTTTGACCCTGTCAACAAATTACAGTAAGTTACCGTATTTTTCATCCTTAATACATTAACCAAAATATACTGTAAATTATTTTTTGCTAAACTAATATTTTAGCATAGAAATAAATGCACTTTTGTATTATAAAATCGAAATAATTATTCTTAAACTTTAATAAACACTTATAAAGTAATGAGAAAAGTGTAAATCTATTTTTCGAAATCTAGTCGAAATTCTAAATCAGTTGAAATTCTGCAAACCCTAAATTTTAGACCCGACGAAATCTCTAGACTCATCGAGATTTTATAAATTGTTGAATCCTATGAATTTTAAACTTGTCAAGATTTCATGAATATTCAGATTCGTCGAGATTCTACTAATTCTAGACTCGTCGAACTTTCACAGACTTTTGGACTTGCTGAGATTTGGCAAACTTTTAGACTCCTTCGGCTTTTATAAACATATTAAAAGTCTTTTCTGCATTCAATATGAATATTTGGTTAAAATAATATTGATGTAATAAAATGAAGAGATAAGTAAATGATATATAGTCTAAGCTTAACTGTTAATTTCGTTCAATTTTTTTAACCATTAATTAGTGAACATAGAATTGTGTCATTGTCAACTTGAAAGAATGAAATATTTTCTTTGAATTATCATAAGCTGAAAGTATTGATGCATTTTGGTATAATTTATTAATTTATTGAGTATATTTCTTAGTTGTAATACTATTTAAAATCTTCTCTAATAATTATTAAATTCTCTTTTCTTTCCTTTTTAATGAAATTTTGAATTAAGTGAACGCTTCATTGTTTCATCACAGTTTAGCTACTCAAAATTTCATTATTATTTATTATAAACAATAAACTTCTTTGTCACACAAATGCATTACATAGCATAAAATATACAACGATGACATTTCAATATAATTTTTTTTTTTTTTAATTATTGATTATTTATTATCTTCCCGAAAGGATGTATCACATATTAAATGATCAGAGGATGATATAGGAGATGAATTCTGTAATTAGGAAAGATCAATTTTGATGATTGCTTTCTGTTGTTGTTTACTGTTGACTTCTAATAATCAATAATTGGCGCTTTTGACTTCGTTCATAAACTTTCTAAACCGCCGCTGTAACATATTACTTTTATTAATACATTCAAATGAATTAAATATTCTCTAAAATATTATTAGTGATCAAAATATACTATAAAATACTATTATTAGTCTTTGTTTATGGCAATTTATAGCATATTTTGAATTTCTTTGAAAAAGAAAAAACATATAAATACTAAACAGTTTAACAAAATAAAGAAGACAGTGAATGATATTTGATATAGCTAATATATCTGTTTAAGAAGTAACGAAATATTCGAATACAAAATGGTGAAATTAAATAGTATAAAAATTGATAATTAATTTTTGCAAATTTAACTTTTAGATTTAGCATCAATTTGCAGAAATAAATCATTCGTAATTTATCCAAAACTTTGTTTTTTTTTTTTTTTTTTTAATAAAAGCGGAAAATTATTTCATCTTTTTTCTCTCTATTTTAGAGGCCAGAGATTTTTTCAAAACATTTCAAATATTTGTTGCTTAAAAATTTAATCCACTAAAAAATAATACATCAAAACTTAATTTCAAATTATTTCAAATAAAATTCGATCATCAATTAACTATATTAATTATTAATTATGTTTTTGCACTTTTTTTGTGGTCTTATTCTTTACAGAGAATAAAAGTAAAAATTTTACAAAAAGTCCTTATCAAATAATTTTGTTAAAGAAAGGAAAAAATTTTTGTATAAATATTAAAGTAATTGGATTTATTATCTTTTATCATTTATCACTATGCTTTCTAAATTTTAACATTGCACATATCAATTGTTTGTTGTTAGGTCAATTTTATCCGTGTTGAAATGAAATGTAAATAAGAGATTAATTTTAGTGCTCTATTTGAGAAACCACTTATTATTACAAGGATGTTACTAATCTATGATTAAATACAAGGACATTTCAAAATTATTTACGCATAAGTTGAAAAGATTTAATTACAGGTAGGTTAGTTTAAATAGAAAATTCGTTCAAAATATACTTTTAACAATCGTTTTCAATTACTGATATATTATTTTATTATATCTTAGCCTATGAAATATTTTTTAATTTCTTCTTTTTACTATTAAATTTAAGAAAATTTATTAGTTTTTTTTTCTCTGCAAGAGAAATTAGTTTTTCAATTAATTTGATTTTATTCATTTAAAAGTAAATTTTCATTTAAAGAAATTTAATTTTCAATTTTTCTGCTGAATTTTAAAAAATTATTGGTGGATGATTGAAATTATTCAAATATTTCAGAATAAAACCTTCGAAAATGTAAATTTTCTATAATATAATTTAGTTAGCTTAAGTTTTTGTTAATAGCCAAGAAAATTTATTTTTTTAATGTGAAATTTTAAATTTTAATCTCCACAATCTATTTTTTTTTTAAATCAGCAAACTTTTTATTCCAATTAAGCTTAATTGGGGAGAGAAAAAAGTTTTTTTCAAGAAAAGAAAAAATAAAATAAAATTTTGTCTTATTATTTTGCAATAATTAAAAATAATTTGATCATATACTAATACTTCTTTCGTTTACCTCAATATTTCGTTTATTTAATTGGATTTAGTTGTTAAAATACATATCCAACAATTATTATTTATAATTGTATCATTCAATTCTTTATTTTCTTTTTTGACTCAAAATAATTTATATAATTTGAGCAAAGATATTTTGATGAAAAATTCGAAATACTCTTCGCTTATAGAATTTTGCTTGTTTTATTACAATTGATTATTTTATTTTCATGAGGATAAGTTTTGGACTGATTTTCAGTTCAAATTTAAAATTTAATTTTATTTTTTGTTTATGTTTTTTATAGATATTTGTATTGATAGAATTTTTTGTTTTATGATATCTAATTCAAAACAATTTATATATTTGTTTGTTTGTTTTTTCTTCTGCTCCTTTGTTTTTGTTTTTTTTTTTTTTTTTTGACTTTGTTTATCTATCAGCAAACCTTTTTCTATTCTTTTCCTTTTCTTTTCTTTTCTTTTTTCTTTTGTTTACTGATAATTCTTTTAATAACATATATTAATTTGTTATTTCTATTAAATTCATTGAAAATTAAGCATTTGTGCATGCAAATTCATTTAAACAATTGAATGAGATAAACCTTTAAATTGCAATAAATTATTTTATTTTTTTAAATTGCAATAATCTAATTTTTATTAAATTAACAAATCTTGCTTATTTGTTATTAAATGTGATAAATAATAGTAATAGATTAATCTAGTTTTGCTTCATTAAATTTTAACAAAATGAATTAGAAACTTAATTGTTTTTCAATTAGCAATAACATTGTTTATCATTAGTGTCGTTTAGTATCTTTCAAATGATAACAAATCATTACACATGAAATATCATTTCAGAATGGACTCGTTACCTCATCTAACAAGTTACAGGTTTGTAATTATTGCTAATTACAGGTTTGTAATTATTGTTAACAAACATTCATTACATAATCGTATGTGAAAACATTAAGTTAAAAGTTGCTTATTGCACAATTGTTGCAATTTCACATCTTTCTTTGTTATTTTTAATTTCAGTATAATTGTATGGATGAAATGCTTGTTGTACAAGCATTACTAATATGAATAATTTAAAGTTATATTAATTATTTAATTTTGTTATAGTTAAAATATATTAAATTATAATGCATATATTTGGATTAGATTAATGGATAAACTGCTTTTATTTATTGTTCATAGTAATTCTTGTACAATAAGCATTCATATATATAAATTATACATTTACTAATACAATTCCATCCTTTTGCTTTTTTTCCTTCCAATTTACATTTTGTTTTAATCAATTGTTTAGTAAATAAATATTTAATCATCATTTAATTATTTATTAATTCGCTTACTTATCGCTTCATAAATGTATTGCTTAAAATTTATCAAATTCTAATGCAAAATTTATTCTAGCACTTTAAATAACATAAAATAAAGTTAAAAATTAACAAATATTTTCAATTTTGCATAAAATTTTAAAATTACCAATTAAATTTTATTCCAACTCTGCACAATTATTTCTCATTTACTACGATATGTTTAAAAAATAAAAAATGAATCAAAATTTTTTCAATTTTATCCCATTTCATTTGATCATTATCGACCAATAATTTTTCGTTTTTTCTTCTAAAAAAGAAAAAAAAAATTTTTTTATTTTTTTTGATAGATTTCTTCAGCTAACGCTGTAATAAACTCATTTCATATCAAATGCTAATTAAAATACTCATTAAGCAAAAAAAGTAAATGGTTTCCGGTGTTTGCTATAGGCTATCATTAGTAGCATAAATGTTTATTACAATGAATCCGTTTTATCGCTTCCTTTCATTTTTTTTTTTCCTTTTTTTTAAAAAAAGAAATCTCAAAAAAAAAAAAAAAAAAAAAACGAATTTTAACAATTTCATTCTAATTATTTCACCATTTTTTCCTAGAATTTCACATCTTTTTTTTTTCCTTTCAATTTTGTTTTTCTTTTTTCTTTTGCTTACTTTTTTTTCCTTTTTCATTCCTTTCTTCTTTTACAATTTTCAGTGTTTGTTGCTTTTTTTTCGAATCTTTTCTGATAAAATTAAATCATTCATTTTTTATAAATAAAATGAATTATTTAATATTTTTCGAGTAAAATATATATTATATTTTTTGTATCTCACATTAAGATATAAAATTTGAATAAAATTACCAATTTATTGGGTTTATTTTAATGAATTTTTTTTGATTTTATTCGCGATCATTGCCTTATAAAATTTTCCTTCTATTTATCACACAATAATATTTTTTCTAAATTTTTCCTATAACTCACTTATTTGCGTTAATTCGAGGAATCAAACAATCGTTAGCTATTTTTTAAAATGAATTCAATTTATATTATTATTTATTTCATTACTATCATTTTATTTCTACCCATTCAAATGTGTGAAAGTTATAACTTGTAAAATTTAAAGTTAATTTATTTTAAATGAGTAAAGTTACATTCTTTCAATATTTAACAATTTCTCGCTCACCAACCGATAGAGATAAATTAGGTAAGAAAATATTATATTAATAACATTTGATTAATATTACTATCACAATTGATTGAACTTTCTTCGTTACTTTCAGAAATGTACTATATTTTAATTATTAAATATTTACTTATCACATCTTTTTCATTAATTATCTTTTTTAAAGTTATTTTCAAACTTTCGATTTATTATTAGCATTTTAGCTATTTTTTCACAAATTCCATTTTCCTTTTCTTATTTTTTAATTTTAATGCTTACAAGACATCAGTGCGTATTTTTTAAATTACAAATGTTTAATTATTAGCTAATCTTTAAAATTTATTATTTCATTACTATTCTAATGGTAGTTTTCTTTTTGTTGTTTTTACGCATTTATAAATATTAAAAAAATATTTTCTAAATTTCAAAGTTAAAAAAAAGTTTTGAAAATATAAAGTCTTAAAAAAGGAATGTATTAAATAAGTTTAAAAAAAGAAAAAATGAGTGAAGTGTAATAACTTATTTGATTGAAATTTGTTTGAGAATATTTTATTGGATAAAGATCAAAAATTTTAACTTTTAGAAATAATTATTGCATTTTAGAGTGTTTTCCTTTTTTTAATAATCTGAAAACTTTTATAATTAAATTCATAAATTTTTCTATAAATCGAAATTTGATTACCTTTACAACTAATTTCATAAATTTTTTATAATTTTTTTCTTTTTTTTTTTTTGCTAATTGATCATTCATTGTAGAACGCTCATATTTACATTTGATATTAATGTAAAAAAAAAACATTAGATATGCTTGTTTACACATAAATTTATTGGAAAGTAATTTTATTATTTTAATTAATTTAGGATTATTTGGTTTTCATTACTCCCATCTATTTGCTTATTAAACTTGTTGTTTTTGTTTTGAATGATAAATTTTTTAATTTAATTCTTTTTTTTTCGCTTAATATTGCGAAGTTATATTAAATAAGAAAATTTGTTTTTTTTTCTCTCTTAAAATTTCATCTGATCATTTCACTAATTGCTAACAAATAATTTGCAATCCGAGCAATTAATTATTTGCATTCAATCGTCCAATTAATTTTTACACATTTCTAGAAAAAAAAAAAAGTAGATTTACTGCTTTTGAGAATTTTTACACTAAGCAAATCATCATTTACAATTAAAAATGAATTTAAAAAAAAAAAAAGCTCAATTAAATTTAACTAAAATATAATTTTCTTCTCTTGAAATGTTAAAAAGAAGTTTACTACTTATTTATTAACTAATTTCTTATTCCACTGATTATATTTCAAATTTATTTTTCATTTTTTACCATTTAAATCTTTCTACATCCAAATTTATTTTTAATGATTTATAATTAAATTTTACTTCTTCTAATTACTAAATTCAAATGTAATTCCCCCAGTTACTATTCATTTATTTTTTATTTTCTTCTACATTTAATTCAAAATAAAATTTTTCTACCTATTTAATAAATTTGTATTTTCTTTCAATTTTTTTTTTAATTAAAATATAATCGAATAAAATATATGACAATCCGATTTCTTTTTTTAAGTTTTTGAATTAAAATGCAAAATTTTGTTTAACTCTTTATTCATTCTTATAAATGAATGACTGGAATAAATTTATCAAATGTTTTAGAAATGATTTCATTTTTTTATCCATCATCAAAAAAAAAGAAAAAACAGTCAATAATTACTTAGAAATGAGATTTTCGGAATAAAGTTTCTTCCAATTTTTTAAAAATTTTTTATAAAAAATATATTTTGGAATGATAAAATAATACTAAAATACAAATAGTTTTTAGTTTAATTTTTTTTAAGTATTTCTTTTTTTCTTCTTTTTTTTTTTTTTGGTTTTCTACAAATTTGTGAATTTCTTTCATTCATTATTAATTTTTATTCGCTTCACAATTTTGATTACCTTCGTTAATTTTGATTTTATTAGGAATGAATTTTCCATTTTTCTTCATAAAAATTTTAAATTTTTCAAGTTTTGTTCTTTTTATATTTTGGCATTTATGTTTCTCTGTAAAAATTTCTTCTTTTAAACTTTTCTTTTTATTGCTTTTTTTTTACACATCTTGTTTTTATTAACAAAAAAAGTTACAAATTTGATTTTTTTCCCAAACTTTTTGTTTACATTTTTTTTTTGCTTTCTTTTTTTGCAACTAAAAATTATAAATTATTTTTTTGATTTTAAATTTTTTTTGATTTTTTTATTTTTATTCTGTCCGTGTTATTACTTCTACTATATAACTATAAAATATTTTTTATCATAAATAAGTAAACAAAAAATTAATTATACAAAGTATGTAATTAACTTTTTGCTGTCCAATTTAATAAGGTGAAAAGGCTGCAACATATTTTCGACTAAATGGAATGCTCTCAATAATATTTGATGAATTTTTCATAAATTTTTGCAATTAAAATAAATGAAAACTATTTTATATAATAATGATATCATTTAAAGTAGGAATAAAAGAGAGAATACAAATTTTTTCTGCGCAATTTAAAAAATTTTCAAGTTTCAGTTTAATTAAATTTCGTGAATATGACAATTTCTCAGAAATAATTTTTTAAATTGAGGACAAAAAATGATTATAATGTTTGAATGACATCAAACATCGCTAACTTATGATTAATTTAATAATAACTCCAGCACTTAAATTCTAAAAAATTACTTCTTTGATGACTCAGAGAAACAAAAATGAAACTTAGAAAAATGAAAGCTAAAAATTTGAAAGTGTTGAAATGCATGAATGAAATAATTGTTAATTATGAAAAATACTAAGATGAATGATGACTAATAATAGTACTTTATTCTGATATGAATGAATTAATTTGCCTTTCAAAAAAAAATTAGCATAAACAATTATCAAAACACATTGTATATTTCAGTTAATTCTATCCCTCTGACTTTTCTACGTAAATTTTTTAAGAAAAATTTTAAAAATTTTTGGAAATAAATTTTTTTTGGTAAAGTTTTTGATTAATTTGATTTTTTGTCGCTATTATATTTAAGAAGTATTTTATGACTAATTAAATGTTATGGTAAAAAAAAAATATGTATTAATATATTCATTATTTATTAAATGCCTCTTTTTTTTTTTTGCTTATTTAAAAATTTCTGTTTTTTTAAAATTTTGTTCTTGCATTGGTGACGAATAACTTTTAGTATTGAAAGAGTACAGAGAGGGAAAGAGAGGAAGAAAAAATTCGTTTTACGCTCAAACTGATTCATAATTTTTTTAATAAATTATTAAGGATAAATTTTTGCTCAAATAATTAACATAATTACAGGTAAATGAGATGTTATAATTTAAAAATACAGCAGTTTTTACCAATTTATTACTTTTAATTTACGTTTTTGTAATGATACTTTGTCTTTTCGTTCTTTTTACCTTTTCCTTACATTTTTTTTTTTTCAATTTTCTTTCCATCAAAAATTGCTTTTCAATTTA